GGCTGTTTTCCGTAGTAGCTGGGGTTTACTGCTTCCCACACCCCCTCCTCCTGCTGCCCCCGGTCTCTCTCTCTCAGCTGCTACCGTTTGTGCAGTAGTGTAGTCCCATGGGGTTTTCTCATCCCTATTTAGGGATGGAGACTGCCACAAACTCCTGTTATGCTGTGTCCCACCCATGTGGTCTGAAAACCATTTGTGTGTGTGTGTGTGTGTGTGTGTGTGAGTGAGAGGCAGAGAGAGAGAGGGAGAGAGAGAGAGAGAGAGAGGAGAGAGAGAGAGTGTACTGGGGCTTAAACTCAGGGCCTGGCACTGTCTCTTAGCTTTTTTAGTTCAAAATTAATGCTCAACAGTTACTTGAGCAACAGCACCACTTCTGTGTGTGTGTGTGTGTGTGTGTGTGTGTTAAGATCAGAGTCTCATAGACTTTCCTGCCTAGACTAGCTTTGAACCGTGATCCTAAGATCACCAGCGCCTGTCCTGAAACCCATTTTGATTCATTTCCAGCTAAGTTTTAGCTTGATTGTTCCTATCTGTTCCTCACTGTTAGGACAGGGTGAACAGCATTTTTTAAAAGCTTGTAAGACACATCCCAGGGTATAACTCTTCTGGGGCATTTATGTGTGGGGGTGTTCGTGGTATGGCATACATGAATGTGTGTGTTACACTCATGTGCATGCATGTGTGTGAGTGGTATACAGGTACTGTGCATGTGAGTGTATGTATAGTGTGGAATGTATGTGAATATATGTGCGTTCTATATGAGTGCATATGTTGACACGTGGATGAGTGTGAATGTACATATGGGTGTGTGTGTGTGTGCACGTGTTACTGTGCATGTGTACACACATGTGCATAGTATTGTGCATGCAGGTGTATGTGTCTTCATGGCATGGTGTGTGTGTGAGTGCTTATATTCACAGTGGCATGCATGCAGGTGTGTGTGTGTGTGTGTGTGTGTGTGTGTGTGTGTGGCCAGAGGTATTCCATTGCTGCATTGGTGCCAGCACCTCTGTGAGCTCTTGGTCACTGCAGCTATGTGCAGGTGCTGCCTATCCAGGTCTGTGCCCTGTCACTCAGTCACACCGTCCTGCAGGGCATCGTTGGTGGCACAGCCTGGGTATCCTGCTGCTGCTTCAGAGTTGTGGTGAGGCTAGAACTGTCTGAACTTCTGGCCAGTTAGTGTCTTCCTGGTTCTGGGTCTGCTCTTTGCTTTCTCCTCTCTCGTACAGCTCACCTCCATTCTCCCTCCCTGTTTACCTCTTTCGAAGCCCTTCCTTTTGCTCTTGCTGTGACTCCTATTCCTTCCCCATTGCCTCAAGCCAGGATGAATGGCCTGAGCCTGCGGCTGGCCAGCTCTTCCCTCTGTCCGCCCGTCTCCTTGCTCAGGAGTCTTCTGTGGCTTTGGTCCCTGCAGGGCAGGGCAATGTTGCCTGTGGGCCGATGGATTTTGTTTGTCAACTTTTTTTTTTAATTGAGATTCTTTTTTAAAAAGTGTTTTATATAAAAAGTTTTTATATAACTGTTTTGAGCTTTTCCCGAAAACTTGGGAAATCTAGCCTCACCGAGCACTTATTCCTAAGAGGCCAGAAAGTAGGGGTGGCTGGCTTCCTCCTGCCTTTCCCTGGCCATGTGCAGCTTGCCACACACTCCACTGTGCCCTAATAACCCCTCCATTTGCCATGTTGCTGTCATCTGCCTTCAACACATTAATATTGGTAGCTCAGCACTGTGGATCTGTCTATATCTATACTCAGAATGCACTATGTATTTCTTGTTGTCTAAGTGTTCTTTGCCTCTAAATCCATGCAGTTCTGCTACCCGTGAAACCACTCACCTGCCCAGGAGGATGTTCCTCTCTCCCAGAATCACTTTGGGTTATCTCTGGTGTTTGGTGATATTGTTTGTTTACTGGAGTTGTGCCGAGGCTGGCCGGGGCCTCCCAGTGCTTGGTACACAATGCCCTCATGATGGGTTCTCAGACTAGATATATGACTAGAACAATGCCTAGAGATGCTCCAGGCTTGGTTCTATAGGTACCACCAGGAGGCCCTGACCAATGAGGAATGGTGTTAACTAGTAATTTTCCCCAGTGGCTCTAAGACCCTTGTTTCACCTCTGTCACTAGAACCCCATTCTGGGGAAACATCTTTAATGTGGGGCAAATAAACCCTAATGCAGTGGAACTAATACTCCATGGTGGGGGGTGGGTGCCTTTACTCCCCTGTATGTGATGGGATCTGTCACAAAGGCCATTTGGCTGCATTGCTTTGAGATCAGCATACAGAACACAAGAGTGAAGAGCCCCTCCATGCCTTTGAAATCACAGCATTGGACTCACAGTTTGGCGTTCCTGGTGTGAATGCGAGCTTGATGCTGAGTCTGCTGGAGTAATGAGCCAGTCAGATTGTCAGGAAGATTGTTGGGGCTACTTTTTGCATCAGCTTAACCTCTTGGAAGCCCAGGATTTCACAGCCACATGCCCTTGGGTATCAGAATGACCTTGAGAATACCCAGCATTTCTTGTATTTATGGGATTTCTCTTTGAAAGGGGAGAGGGGCTGGAGGGTGAGTGGGCTCTGAGGGCAGTGCTGTCCAACAGGACATGATGACAAGGTGGGGTGAATCTACGTTTTCTAGTGCAGTCACCAGGCCCTTTGCCTGTGGCCAGTGTGACTGGTGAGAGTTCATTGTTGTAAGCCTAGCTCTCTAGGGGGAAGGGGTCAGAAGTAATATCTTATAGTGAGCTATGCACATGCCTAATGAGAGGACAGTTGGCTAGAGGTGTCTTCTACCTGGGGTGGAACACTGGCTCTATTCGTCAAAGTTCACTTTACCAAGGTTGGCCTGGTATCACAAAGGTTTGTTTCGGTGTTGTTTGTCAGGAGACCTACTGCCTTGCCGTTCTGAGGAGAGCTTACTGCTCTTTTATTTCCTTTAACAGCAGCCAACTCCAAGCTTCCCTTTGCTGCAATTCCTTAAGAAAGTTCTTTTCCTTTCCTTGATCTCATTAAATCCTAAATATATGCTCTGAGTGCACAGAGTATAAATACTATTTCGGGGGAGTGGAACAAAATAAAGGGGAGGCCGTGTAGACTGCTGCACAGATGGAAACGTGTGGGTTTATCTGTTTTGCTTGGCTCCTTTTGAATAGAATCAGCGGAGACCTGCCTTTATATGGTAGTTAGTAAAACTGCATCGTGCTGTAGAGATAGCTGAATTAATCTGCACTTTTCAGAACACACACGCAGTATCCAACCAGGGGCTGGTTCACCTTGTCCTCATTAGCCATTAGACTGGTGATGCCTATGGGTGGCCTGTCCTCCCAGAGGCCCTACAAGAGCACTCTGCATTCGTGTATGGCCCACCTATTTTTCTGTAGCCCACTGCTGTGTTTGTGTTTGTGATACACTGGTTCTTTCATTGTGGACACTCTGGAAGAAAGCTAAGCTGTTTTCTTTCAAGCTATACACGAAAGCACTACCTCTTGCTATTTGGGGCCCACTATGGTTGGAATATGAAATGTCTCCCACATGTTCACGTGTTGTACACTTGGTCCCCAACTAGTGACTGCACTATTTCAAGAGATTCTGGAAACCACAGGAGGTCTAGTTGGAGGAATCAAGATGGGCCCTGAAGTTATTCCTGGTCCCCAGTCCCTTCCTAGCTCTGCCTACTTGCTGTCCTCCATGAGCTGCACAGCTTCCTCCTCCATGCATCCCGCCGTTGTGCGGACTGGCCTCACCACAGACCCAGATTCAACAGCAACCAAGGACCATGGATCGAAATCTCTGAAACTAGGAGCTATAATAAATGGTTCCTCCTTTTAAGTTGCTTAGGTCAGGCATTCTGGCAAAGTGAAAAGAAAGTCTTTCCAATAAAGGGTTCCCTAGTATCTCCTGTTCTCCCCTGTCAATGTTCTTTTCAGTCATGATTTCAGATACCCAAAATTAGATGGTTGGGCAGAAGAGGATCTGGGTGAAAGAAAATGAGGGTGGAGGCCCCACTTCCATTCTGTGTGGTTTCTCAGTGCTTTGACAGCCAACCGTATAAGAAGTTTGCTCACCTCCTCAGAGGTGGTTTGTCCATGTGATGTAGTAATCTTATGAAGAAACACCTTTTCTGATTCCTCTCTGCTCTGCCCACTCAGGAGTTGGCCTCCTCCTGACCTTAGCCTCTAATCTTGCTGCAGAACGCTGCCCACAGCTGCCTGCTAGAGCACTTCCTCAACCCTTACCAGTTCAGAGGAAGTAAGGGGTGCTCTGAATGGTATAGTGCCTTTCGGGGAACCCTCTTGGTGTTCAGCTGGGTTATATAACCTCTTGGAATCAGTGGTAATGCTAATGCCCCCCAAACCTGTGGCACATTGAGGTTTTCCACAGGCGCCTAAATAAAGACTAGAGTGGTTACCAAGAAAAGAATGGAAGTTAGTTAGGAAACTGCAGCACTCACTTTCTTCTCTATAATCCATCAATTCTCATTGATCACTACAGGCATGCTTTGTTCAGGAGTGGGGAACATCCATCCTTTGGGATGGAAAATCATTTCATGCATGACGAGACTGACACAGGTGCTTCTGTATGCTTCTTAGCTGCCTGTGACGCTCTACTTGTATTGATTGATAACTATGGCCTGCAAATGATATAATTATCCAAATAGCCCTTGGCAGCAAAAGTTTCCCTGCCACTGTCATCTGGAGAATAGAAAAAGGGCCATTTCTGCAATAGTACTTTTTCCTGCTTTGTGAATCTTGCTCCTTTAACTTCTCTTCATTTCCTCCCTCTGTTCTTGTTTCTATCCTTTTGCTTTCTGCTTCCTCAGGTGCTTCTCCCTTTTCTTCTTCCATTCCCGTCCTTCCTCTTTTCTTCCCCCACTCTCTCCATCCCCTTCTTACCCATAATTCCCTCTTGATGGATACTCTAGTACTTTATTTAATTCAACTTAATTGATTCAGCACAATTTAGTTCCTCCCTAAATTAAATACCCTTGTATTTCTCTCCTAGGAAGAAGAAATGCCTGATGTAGAAATTGATATTGATGATCTTCTTGATGCAGACAACGAGGAAGAGAGAGCTGTAAAATTACAGGTAAGCAGTGTTCAAAATATAGAAGTTGCCAGTTGTGGATCGTGTCATCAGAAGTGGGCATGCACTGGTTCTGTCGCATGGTGGCATTGGCATACTGTCTTTGCTTTCACAAAGCAGTTCTTGACTATAGTCCTCCAAGCACCGGAGGGGATGACTTTTTCCAGCTTGGTTTCTTGGGAGAGATCTGGTTGTGCCCTGATTATCTTCCTGGGAAGGCAGAGAACTGCAGATGTGTGAGGAGAAGGGACTCAGCCAAGCGGACACTGGGCTCTGTTCTTACAGCTGTGGATGGTATCACTCCTAAAATTAATTTCTAGAGTAGATTTCTTACAGCTCTCTATTTTTTTTGTAGATGCTCACCTGATGGCATTGTAGTGCCTCTGATGGAGGTTGAGGTGTGTCCTATTCCTTAGTGAAAAGCACTCATCTACTCCTGCACACACAGGAGGTCAAATCTATCACTTTTACATCTGCATTTGGCAGTTACTAATACTGAGTAACCTTTGACCTGCCGTTGCTCTTAATGTCCATTGATAATTTCTGTTAGTGGCAATTGGCTGTCACCAATGAGAAATGGTCACTAGGACACATCAGAGGGTACATTATAATACACTGATGTGTTTAATGTGTTAATAATTACTATTGTCTCTTGAGTGGCAGGTAGTCTCAGTTACAATAATTATGTCTCATGGCCTTCTTCACAAAAGCACAAACCAAATAAAGCAGACATCAGTTCTACAGAAAATGTGACAACAATAAGAAACTTTTCTAAGTTCAGAACTTGCAAGTATCTTTTTGAGCTGTCAACAGCATCCCACTTCTTGGTCCCCAAGTAAGTGAAGGCATTGACGCTCAAGGAGGGCAAGTCTCAAGCTTGTCTGTGACTGAATCTTGCTATGTCATTGTGATGGTCACTATCTTGAACAGGCTGTCTCGATTTTAAGAACTGGAAGTGTTTAAAATTATTATTAACCTACTAGGCAAACCAAAGGAAATGGGGGGAGGTGTGCACATAGAAAGGGGGCAAAATAAAAAGAAACCACTGGGAACCGATGGATTACAGTCTGTGTAGGAAAACTAAAGTGGAAGAGGATGTTGATTCCAGATGAGGACCATCTTGAATTTATAGTTAGTCCCATTCTCTCTACACACCATAACCTGATACCCACTCTCACTGTCACAAGCTCTTCTCAGTGAGACATCTATAATATATAATCTATCTATCTGTCTAGCTAGCTATCTAGCTATGTATCTAATCTAACAGGATATATATATATATATATGCTGTAAATAGTACATAAACTACTATTTTGCTACTCAAAAACTTGCCATGGGCTGGGAATGTGGCTCAGTGGTAGAGTGCTTGCCTAGCATTCATGAAGCCCTGGGTCTGATTCCTCAGTACCTCAGAAACAGAAAAGGCCAGAAGTGGCACTGTGGCACAAGTGGTAGAGCGCCAGCCTTGAGCACAGAGAGGCTAAGGGAAAGGCCCTGAGTTCAAGCCCCATGACTGGCAAAAAATAAAAATAAAAAATTGCCATGTACCATACATATGCACAATGTGTATATATGTGTGTGTCGAAGAACAAAGTTCTTGTACATTAATGATTTTATAGCTTTAATTGACCAACTACTGTTTTTCATGATGTTGATGATAGTCAATTAGATTTCTTGATTTAGCATTGTAAAAAATAGTAGAATGAAATAAAATGACTTTTAATTTCATTTTCAAAGTAATTTTGAAGCAATAAAACTGACTTCCTGTGTGTTTAATTCTAGGAAGCTCTTGTAGACTGCTACAAACCAACAGAGGTAAGCAAATTATCTTTCCTGAATGTTGTGTTTGAATTGGTTTTAACTAAGTCAATTTGTCTATTTTTGAAGGTAAACCACACTAATTAAATTCTGATTAGCAATTACTATTATGAGTGTGTATGTTTGCATAGTCTAACTTTATTGCCTTTCTGCCTAAATGTGTGTAGTTCAGGAAGACTTAAAACTAATGGAGTAGGGACTGATTCTTGCTTTACATTAAAAACCACACTTTAGGGCTGGGAAATTGGCTCAGTGGTAGAGCGCTTGCCTTGCATGCTTGAGGCCCTGGGTTCGATTCCTTAGCACCACATAAGCAAAAAGAAAAAAGCCGGAAGTGGCGCTGTGGCTCAAGTGGTAGAGCACTAGCCTTGAGCTGAAGAGCTGAGGGACAGCACCCAGGCCCAGAGTTCAGGCCCCACGACCGGACCCCCCCCCAAAACACACACACACACACACACACACACACACACACACAAAAACACACTTTAAAGAAAATTGTAAGAGGTACAGAATCATTGTAGTAAAAGGTTTGTTTATAACCAGTATTAGTTTATAGGTATGTATTTTCTAAAAAAAACCCATGCCTTTGTTAAGAGAAAAAATTATGCTTTGAATATTTAAAACATTACTATAAGAAATAATGAATAGCCAGGTATTGGTGGCTCATGCCTATAATCCTAGCTACTCAGGAGGCTGAGATCTGAGGATTGCAGTTCAAAGCCAGCCTGGGCAGGAAAGTCCATGAGACTCTTCTTTCCAATTAAACACCTGAAAATCGGAATTGGCGCTGTGGCTCAAGTGGTAGAGCACTAGCCTTGTGCTGAAGAGCTCATAGACAGCACTCAGGCCCAAAAAGAAACAATGAATATGAATTGGATTAGATCAAAGCATTTAATATAGACTTTTAGTGACTTTTAGCATAGAGATTAAGGTTTTGGTCAGTTGTGAAAATATTATCAGAAACGCTACTTTTGATTTGTTCCTGTTAAAATCTGTGGCCATAAGATGTTTGTTGTTGTTGTTGTTGTTGTTTTGGGGGCCTGGGCACTGTCCCTCAGCTCTTCAGCTCCAGGCAAGTGCTCTACCACTTGAGCCACAGGACCACTTCCGGGTTTCTGGCAGTTAATTGGAAATAAGAGTCTCATTCGCTTTCCTGCCTAGGCTTGCTTTGAGCCTTGATCCTCAGCATCTCAGTCTCTTGAGTAGCTAAGATTACAGGTGTTCGGCTTCCATGAGCTGTTTTGAAATCAGTTTTGTAACATCAAATCAATGGTGGCAACACTTGCAATTTTTGTTGTGGAAAGTTATAAAGGGGAAGAGAAAGCAAGGTCTGTGGTTTTCTCCCACATAGGTCATGAACTAATAGATAAAAGATTTTGGTTTTCTTCACTTTGATTCACATCCAACTCTTTTTAATATATATATATTTATTGTGAAAATACTGTACAGAGGGGTTACAAGTACATGGGCAAGATAATGAGTACATTTCTTATCAAGCATTGTTGCCTCCTCCTTTGTTTCCCCTTCCCATCCCTTTCCATCTCCCACCCCCTCTCCCCCCACCCCCCACCTCCTGCCCCCTCCCGGTAATATATATTTTTTATTGTAAAGATACTGTACAGCAGGGTTACAATTACTACATCTTAACTCTTGAACTCAGGGCTTGGGCACTGTCTCTGAGCTTTTTTTCACTCAAGCCTGGTGTTCTACCTTTTGAACCATAGCTCCACTTCTGGCTTTTTGGTAGTTAACAGAAGATAAGAGTTTCAGGGACTTTCCCCCTGCCAGGAGTGGCTTCCAACTTTGATCCTCAGATCTCATCCTCCTGAGCATCTAAGATTATAGACATGAACCACTGGCACCAGGCTAAACTTGGAACTCTTGACATAAGTCTTTCCTCAGTTGGTCTCATCAAACTCAGCAATATAAATGTCATCAGACTAATGTATTAGTGATCAATGGGTAAAAATGGTGTATTTATTTCTTCTGCTTGAGTAAATACCATCTTGATTGTAGTTGATATAAAACTCGAGCTGGCTTAAGTGAGAACAGAGAAAGAATGTCTAAAATACAAGAAGAAAAGTAACAATCTTACCTTGAATATTTGCATATGAGTTGTCAGAGTGTAGGGAAGGTAGTAGAATCAGAGGTAGACGTTTACAGGTATAGGATCAGTTCCTATTTCCCACTCTTCCCTTACAAGCTGTTCAAATCTTTAGGACAGAAAGAAGTTCACCCATGGTACTGGGGTGAGGCACAGCATGCATTTAGTATCAGCAGGATACCATCAGGCCAACCAATATGCTTTTCATAAAGGACTGTGTTTATAACTGAAGGCCCCTAGGTTATTATTCTCGGATGCACATCAGCTTTTTCTGTAAGTACCTTTATTTCACCAGAGCTTGGGCTGTCACCTGTCCTTTGGACAATCAAAGCCTGTGAGTTGCTGTGCATCGTGGGCTCCCCAGGATGACTCACGAATGAGTAGGTGGTGAGAGGAATTTTCAGGTCCCAGAAATCTGCTGGGTCAGGGAAATGTCACAGTCACGCCATGGTGCCTCTGATAGTGATTTACAAGCAGAAATCAACCACTGTTTCTTGAGACATGCCACAAGAAAAGGAGCTTGCTTAGAAGAACTTCCTGAGGATTCTATCAATTAAACTCTTTTCTAGAACTATGGTCTAATTGTAGCTCATCTGTGTGGCACCCATGAGCTACAGAAGTAAACTCTGTGGTTTGTATAGAAGTTTACTTCATGGTGCTTGCTAAAGGACTACTGAGTCCACCTAAACTTCTTTACCCTTCAGAGAACCTCTAAGCCCTCCTCACTGGATGCATTCTGATTTCCACTGTAATCTGTGCTGCCAGACCCCAAATAAGTGCTCTTTTGTTTCGCAGACCATCTTAACCTTTCTTGAAAACATAGCAGATAATATTCTCCCTCTTGGATAATGAGAATCTTGGTGGAGTAACTTTAGTTTCCTTAGTGTTTGCCAAGTGGTAGATTATAATTTTATTGGATTCCCCACCCCCCCTGCCTCTGATCACTTACTGATTTGGAATATTCATGAGGATTTCATGTTGTCTGAATTGCAAATGTAAAGATTCTGAGGATTATGTTAGTAAGGGAAGAAGAGTTAAATGCCCTTGAATTGAAAATGGTGATCACAAATGGGGTCCTCTGCTGCCTCCAAGTTGGAGTTGGGATTTGTTAGTCCAAAAGCAGTGGACTGAATCTCTTAAGACAGATTAATATGCCCACTCTCACGCAGAACAAATTAATCTTTAGAAGCAGGTAGTCAAGAAAATAAATGGACGGTACAGAGTCAGTGGTTTTAAGTTCAAGGAGGTGAATGAAAGCTGAGGTGCAGGAAAGGCCTTCAGGAATTTACGAAGGCAGAAGTCATGACAGTGGATCTGCAAACCCTTCCCTGCAGCAGCTTCCAAAGCTTCTTTCAAGATAATGCAAAATAGGATCAATTCTGGTGCTCCCTGCCAGCAAATGGACCCTTCTAAAGATAAGTAATACCTGCACACACACACACACACACACCCGCCCCTGCCCACAAGGAAGCACAGCGGGACATGTATTCTGGAGTGAAATGGATGCTGCTTGCTGTGGGGCCGAGGAGTGTTGTTGACTATGGGACTGCATTTCCAGTGTCTCCTGGGTGGGGCACGTCTAAAAGTGGCCTCCTCTGGGCTGACTCACCTCCTTTGGCTTCCTTAAAAATGATCAAGCTTATTTTTTTCAATGCCTCTGCGATAACTTTTGCTATTTGGAAGTTTTCAGGTCTTCCCATGGCCTTTTCAAAAAGGCACATCCCAGCCTTCCATTCCCCTCATTGATCTAGCTAGTGTGATCTGGAATTCTCACTCTCCAGCCTGTTCACACCTTGCCCAATTCCCACCATGATGGTTCATGATTGAGCTCTTTGGAAAAAGTACTGGGCAGCTTCTTAGAATTTGACATTTGACACTGGAGGTGGTAGTGCACGTCTGTAATCCCAGGATTTGGGAGGCTGAAGCCAAAGGATTACAAGTTCAAGGCCAACCTGGGTTCTAGAGTGAGACCCTGCACAAAACAAGACAAAATGAGAACCACAACCTTGTATGGGGGCTGGCTGTTGCTGGAAGTGGGCAGATGCTGGAGGTTGGGAGCAGATGGAGCCTGTGAATAGGCAGTTTTCAGGCATGGCTGGCCGGGAAAATAAGGCTCATGTGGGTCTCAGCCTCGGGAGTCCTCACCTATTGTTCTCTGCCTCAGGAGTGGGTGGTGGTTTCTGAAAAAGCAGGTTGAGTTCTTCCAGGACTCTTGGAGCTTGCCTCCCTGGCAGCTGCAGAGGCGGGTGATTTTAAGCATTTTTCCTAAAAACTCCTCTTCCTAGGGGATACTTCTAATACTGCCTGATATCTGTTTATCATCTTCATTTAAAATGGTTCAGCATGCTTGAAAGAATCACAAAGCAGGCTTCACAGTGATACTGGTCCCTTCACTTCCTACGTTTGAAAGCAGTGTGTTACCACCAAGTGTAACTGATTAATTACTTTGAATGCCCAGGGAAGGCTCACAGGAGCCTGGCTATGGTGATAATGATAAAATGTGTGTGTCCATCTGCTGCCTCTGCCACAGGACCCAGGATGGAATCTGGGGAACGAAGTCTCCAAGTAGAGTGTGCCAGTCCGATGCCATGCCCCATGATGGAGCTGTGTGGCAGTAACTCTGGAGTGAGAAAAGACCTTTTGTTCTCATGGCTGCTTCCTGATTTATTTTCCCCCTTCACCAGCCTTGACTTCTTAGAAGTCTATAAATCAGGAGGCAGCATTCTGTAGTCAGTTTAACAAGCTCCTGAAAGTGTTATTCTTTTTAATATTGCTTCTTTAATCTCTTCTTCCCTCCATCCCTCCCTCTCTTTATCCCTCCCTCCTTTTCTCTCTCTGGAACATGGTAGGCTGTACTCTTCCCCCAACTCCCCAGCCTTTTTAGTTTCATACT